ATTTCTGAAACATGAGTTAGAAAAACAAAATATGACTGTGGAATCAAAAATAAAATATAAGATTGGTCTGATTGGAGTTATTTCAATTGCCCCTTTTCAACACCGCTGAGTGGCAGGAGTAGCACTGCAACTGTTAACACGCGGATGAATGTGATGTTTAGATTGGGGAAGTGCGTCAAGGCCGCTTGTGCATACAGGACCGCCTCTGCTCCCACAGATTACGAGCATCATGTTTCACCTTAAGAGTTTGTTTCCTTTAACTGGAAGACGAGGCTGAAACGGAGACGGCAGGCTGCAGCGCTTTCTGTTTAATGTTCAGCCATCGGAGAGCTGCTAAAAATGAGGAGGCCGATGATGTTTGCAGTTAACGGTCCGACTACAAATCCTCTCGCGTGAACACTAGCCTTAGCTGTCAAAGCAAAACCATCAAAGAGGCGAAAAGCACCGGCGCGTCTAACGATGCGACGACATGCCGAGAATTATTAGGGAAGTGTGTTTTAATAAGCATCTACGTGGAACTGCAGTGTGTTAAAAAGCGTAGCCTCGGTATGCCTGTAGCAGTGCACACACGTCAGTTGGCTGGCAATAAAAAGTGACCACAACAATACCCAGAGGTGAGCTGGAATAGTACAATAAACAACAAACTGAACAGGAAAAACAAAAAAAAAAACAAAAAAAAAAAACAAAAAAACAGAGAAACTAAAGTTGAAAAAGAAGAAAGTTTAACATTTTAACATCTGGTTGGGATTTAAGGTGGTCACAAAAAGAAAAACAAAAGAATTTATATACTGGTTTGATACAAGGAATCCAGTCCCTTCAAATGTGAAGAAAGTAAATCGTATGCTGTTTGGAAATCATAAGAAAATGAATGGGGAATATACAACCATCCCTGTTGAAACATTTATTTCCGCTTTTAAGGGTTTTTATTTTTATTTTCCCCTACTCCTTTTGGAACACGGTGAAAGGAAATGTAATATGTAAAAATGGGATTTGCTAATGTGAATGTGTTTGAAATTACATGTGCATGTTTCATAATTTTTTTTTGTAGGCATTATTCATTAGTCATAGAACAATATTCCCTTAAGAGTAGGTGTGTAGAGTTGAAACATTTATATTCATTATGACAGATATATGTTGTAAGTAAAAGAAAAACAAAAACAGAATGGAAAACACAACATCTCAGAGGCATTAAAGAAATCAACTGAATATGATCTCCAAGTATAAACAAAACAAATACGCTTAAATGCTGAAATCACAAACAATTTTCAGGTATTTACAATATATAATAAAAATGAATAAAACATAGAACTTTATATTTCCCGCTGAAAACAAATGAGTAAAAAAAACAACAACAAAAAACAAGTACAATCAGTGCAGTGTGATAAATGCAAGCCCCATGACTGTCCAGAAGGTGGCAGCAAAGTGTCTCATCTTCAAACACAAGCTTGTTTGTACCGAGTCTCTATGTGTTGCCAGTGATTGCAATAATCTGATCCAGGATCAGCTCCACGGGTCAGAACTGTGATTGAGGTTGTATTGCTGCAACTCAATCTGTTTTTTGATCTGATTCATCAGAAGCTGAGACAAAATCATGCCCACCAGCTGCAAGAGAGGAAAACAAGGATGAACATTTGGCTGCAGCAAGATCAAGCGTTTGTGCCCTTATTGCACCAATGTGTACCTCTGGTACTGCCAGTCCCAGTGCAATGCCGCCCAGTACGATCATGTTGCTGTGGATGAAGTCATCCAGTATGTCGATACAGCCACTGGTGTGAATTTCCTTGCCAGCTTCTGCGAATTCACGTTCTTGCATGCCTTGGCCACACATGGTGTTGACCACACTCTGCGCAGAGAGAGAGAAATCCTTACGTCTAAAACTGAAAATACAACAGAAACACAGAAGAAGAAGAAAAAAAAGACCCTAATGTGTCTGCATTTTGAATCAGACTGACCTCGTTTCTAGAGAGGATGCAACAGGAGAAGGGGACGGAGCAGCGCTCTCTGCTGGGGTTGGTTTGGTTACAGTGAAAGTAGATGTTATTGGACCAGTCAAGGTATGTCGCAGCACCACAGCATCCAAACTGAGGAGGAGGAGGGAAAAATTAAAATACAGAAATATGACTTATTTTTTATTTTTTATGCAAGTGAAGCATACAGGAGCAGATATTTCATGTTTCACGTACAAGACGTTCTTCCCTCCGGATCATTTTAAAGTAACATCGAAAATCCAATGCTAGTTGATTCTTTCGAAACAAACAACCCCGATCTGACCAAAGTAAGGCAATCCTCCGGTTCTGCCTCTGCTGCAGACGTTTAAGCACAGTTTTGACAAAACACCCACCTCTTCTTGACCGAAGTCGATAAGGTTTTGCAGATCAGCGTCGTCTCTGTAGTGAACGATTGCATCATTGATCACTTCTGTTACTTTCTGTCTGGCCTTGAAGGTGAAAATAAATAAATAAGTAAATGAATAAATCTCAGACATAAAGACATCAACTGAACCGGATTTCTGTGAACTGAAAAACTACATTTTGACCAGATTAAAAAGCCTTTCTTGAAACGACATAAATCTATGCTCACATTTAATTAATTAATTGCTTGATTACCTTATTTGAAAAGATGAAGCTCAGAACACCAGCAGCCAGCTGGATTATGAAAATCACCACCAAGGAGATGCAGAACTGGGATGGGCAAAAAAAAAAAAAAAAAATTACTAAAAAAAAAAAGTTCACCATTTTATATCACTTAACTTAATGTAAATGTATTGTTTGCATGACCTTGTACAGTGACTGCACTCACACACCTAAAACTTTCCCACATTTTCCTACCTTTCAACCACAAATTGCCATTTAATGAAATAAAATGATATGCACTAGCATTTTTATATATAGAAGTATGTTTACATATAGCAGTATTTTTGTTTTCTACATGTGCCTGAAGTTATACTTCAAAGATTTGTTTGTCCAATTATACTGACAGGCTAGGGGAAAAAAAAGAAGAAAAAAAAGGCAAAAACATCAGCAAAGCTGGCAGAGGCAACTCTTAGGCTTGCCACACTTTTCAGGTTTTTATTTGCGATACGATTTGAAATAAATCCCTTTTCTTCACAGTTCAAACTCGTGGCTTTAATGTGTCAACAACGGAGAAAAAAAAAAGGAAAAAGGAGTACGAATACTCTTGCCAGGCACTGTATTTCACTGCACATTCTTGCGTGCATGAATGTGCACGCCACCAAATAAAACAGTTAAGTCTCAGATTAATAAAAAATGGCAGACGACATTTAAAACCCAGGTACTATTTGCAGGAGGCAGATGTTTTCTCGCAGCGAGCCCACGCAGCCACAGAAGGTGACGAGGAAGATCAGGACTCCCACCACTATCAGCATAACGGCGGGATCCAGGGACAGAGATGTCAGGGTTGCCTCTGCAAACAAAGATGGAGGCACTTCATCTGCTTCCCGTTAAGGGCGGCTGCTCGATCCTCGTGCCCGGTGAAGTAAAGCGGAGACCCAGTACCCGACCCCGGCGGGGACGTCTGACAATTTACCTGCATGCTTCACCGTACGGGCGTAAATGCCAACTGCCACCATTACAAGGGAGATCACCTGTGGGCGAAGATGGACAAGGAAAATGAAAGAAATCACACAGAAAACAGGAGGATGTTCATCAGAGCAGCTGTCGAAAACTATTTTTATGCGTTTCAACTTGTCAGGGGTGTGGCGCCATCTAGACACTTCAACTTAGTAACAAGAAAGATGTGCAGGGGGGAGTTTATGAGTCATATCTGCTGGATCACTGATGAAATATTCTAAAACTGTCCCAACTTGAGCATTCCTCTTCCCAAGAAAAGTATGTAGAGTGGCGAAATCCTCCCTCCACCATCAGTACTAAAGCGTCTCATTCAGCTCTCGTCTCCCATTCTCGACGGAGTAAAAGAAAGAGTTCAGGAACAAACCCTGTCCGCCCTGAATGACATGGATCCAATTACCAGAGAGACTGTCGGGAAGGGAACTGATTTCTCTCTGCCTTGTTTGTTGGCGGCACAGTAAACAGAGCAGGTGTGACACCTGAAGCACACAGGCGGCTTTGGAACCTGCTTAGATAGGAATGTGCAAGAAAATATCTTAAAAATCAACAAAAACCATACCAGTCAAGATTAGAAAAACGACACAGACATGTAGCAGCAAACGTCTGCTCGGAGCATGTTGAACCCGACGTAGCCAGAGGCAGCAGAAAGTTACGACGCTTTCCAAGCTTCAAGTTCTCACACAGCCTTATCTTACTTAAGCAGCCGCGGGTCATGCTTACCAAGAGTGTTGAATACAAATTAATAAAGAGGCTGATCTCATTTGAGAGGGGCACACCTGAAAGGTCATGTCAGATCTTGGGTTGTTTTGTTTTGTTTTGTTTCTCCCCCCCCAACTCAACATTTTGTGCAGCAGAAAGACAAACAAAAAGTCTCTAAATCTCAGCAAGTCTAATCTGCAACAACAAACCAGCTCAGAAGAGGCTGCAAGAGACCACCTGACGCCGAAAGCCTTTGTATGAACTTTGTGGACGGACTCACTGCAGGGAGTTTCGCTTCTACCATCTGCATTCAGATGCATTCGAATTGTGAAGTTTCAGATCTGGCAAAAGTGCAATGGATCTTAAAAAGACTTTTTTTTAAAAAGTGTGACGATTTGCTAAATCTGCCTTTGTGGCCAACTTTCTAAAGTCCATTTGGTGATCACCTGTACTCTGAATTTCATAAAATTTGAGCTTCCTTAGATTATAAAAAAAATAGTCTTGCTTCCCTGTTTGCTGTGTTTAAGGTAAATGTAAAGGTCACTTCAGGGTTGAGTACGTGACCCTTTCTGTGTTAAAAAGTAACTAAAACCAAACAAAGAGGGACGGGACAAAGCTGGCAGAAATAAACTTTTTAAAGATCTTATCAAACACCTTATTAAAATTGTTGCTTTTACATAACCACATTTTATGATGGCAAGATGAGTTATTAACTTAACACACTAAAGAGATTCAAAAAAAAAAAAAAAAAAGATAAAAGTGGTTTTGATCACTCACCCAGAATATTAAATTAAAAAAGAACAGCAGGTATTTCACAAATGAGTTGACAAAAGTGAAATCCTTGTCGGATCCAGTTGCGCCGTTGCGGTTTCCTGCCATGGCTGGTCCTGCTGCAGCGCGAAGGCGCTTCAACCAAGTTTGCGCACAAAAACCAAAATGTGTTGGTGGAAGTCGACGCTAGTGGTCATAGGCATAATGATAACCGACCCCAATAACAGATAGATTCCAAGCAGCGACAGCAAAGCCTGACTGGGCTCGTCAGCAGTGGGCGTTAAGTTTCTGTCTCACGCCTTCACAGGTGATCACATGATACAAACAATGTGCGGACGGAATCCCCCGCAAGAGAATGGGTTGTTGCTTTACGTTTATTTATTCAATTTTATTTATTTATTTATTTATTTATTTTCGAAAAAAAAATAAATAAAAGAGAAAATGCCTCTAAAAAGTATAGTTAAAGGTCTGAGACAGAGTTGAAGAATCCATTGTTTTCATTTTAATTGTTATGATCAATGTCTTTCTTTCTTTCAGTTTCACTATTTTTGTGTGCAAAGAACTGTACATTTCAGAAGCGTCCATATGTCTTAAAGATATTTGGAAGGTGGTCAGAACGGTCCTATATTCTTTGACTAATGCAATGTGAAAAACTAAAACCATATCTCTATATAGTATGTCTGTATTTTACAAAAATTTTCAAAAGTATGGCTTGCGCAGAAAAGACTTACACATTTTAATAGTTGTCTATTCTAGCTTTATTTATTTATGTTCTGATCTACGGTGGTCACCGGCAGGCGGCGGTATTGCGCCGCAATGTTGTTTGCTCGTCGCCACAAAGACAAGAAGAACATCCGTGTGTCCGGAAGTTATTGTTGGAGCCTCTGCAAGATTCACGTGAAATTACATTTTGCTTCTTTGCTCAGGCGTTTCCACTACCGAAAAATGGTGCGGAGTGGCAAAGGTTTGTTCGATAATTACACCCACACCCCTGCTGGTGTTGCTGCTTTTATAAATACGGCGGATTTCCAAACGTGTTAATGGCAACGCTAATTTTAGCTCATCTTCTCCTCCGCGTCGAGAGGTGGATGCACTTGCTTTTCATCTTCGGAGTCTGCTTCACATCATATGAGTAATGTCCGTGGTGTCGCCTTTAGGCTCCCCGCTTCCTCCAGCCTCCTTGCAGCTGCTGGTTCCTCCTGTGAGGCTCATGTCTGCCTTCGTGTGGAAAGCGGTGCAGCAGGACAGCGCCGTCCAGTATGAGAAGCTGCTGGACTTCATCGACCTGGCCACAGAGATCGTGCCGGAGCTTCTCAGTCCTAGTCAGAAGGGTCAGCTCGTCCTGGGCCTCAGAGCGAGGGTGAGGAAGATACTTTAAACTTGGATCTCTGATGATGATGATTGTCAGGTGTTCATCTCAGCTTAAGCTGTAGTATTCTTACTTCTTAATGCAGGTAGCTTCTTCCATGTTTATTTATGTGATTGTTGAGAATAGGGACAAAATGGGTTTAAATTTCCCCCAGTTTTTTTTTATTTATTATTTCTCAACCTTATGTATGCAAATATGACAACTAATGTTTAGGAAATGTAAAGATGCTAAGGTGCAGGCTCCCAGTTGCAACATTTTTTTTTCAAAAATAAAATTTTTAATCAACCTGACCCAGAACTTTGTCATCACCATCTGACTAAAATAAATATAAAATTATTTTTAAAATACCCTATTAGTGATATTTTTACTCAGTTTTACAGACAAATGTTTCTCAAGAAACAAAATAAATACTATTTAAAACAAAAAAACAACAAAAAGTCCATCTGACAGAGTTGACTGTGCATGACGGAGTTGACACAGAACTGAAGGTGGTGACAAACTTGTGAGTAAAAAGAAAGTAATACAATTTATGCAAAATACTGCATTTGATTAGAAGGAGGCAACAAATTGCATAAAAACCCAGATTTGAAATGGTGTTAACTTCCTGTTTTATCCTGGGTGTAGGATTCTTTTTGCAGTTTTCCCATTTGCCACATGCTTGCACCTTTTACTGATGTTTCCCGTTCTCTGTCCTGATAACTCCACTCTAATCGTTGTGCTGCTGCAGTTTGTCCTGGAGTTGTGTCGGGGCAACGGCGTAGCTAACATCAAGACGATCCAAGGCCACCTGGATAAAATCCACACCTGCTGCCTGGAACTGAGCACCAGTGAACACATGGTGAGCTTTTAAAGAAAGCTTTCATATTACTCAGTTATTATTGTAATGATAATATAAATATATATTTTTAAAAAGCCATTGAGGTAATTGCTAACTTTTCTGTGCCCATCTCTTGACAGGAAAGCTCTGATATTCTGAAGACTTCCTATAGTAACTTTGCGAGCTTGGTGCAGAACATTTTGAATGTTCCCTTAGAAAAGGAACTGTTCTTCCAAGTGAGTTTATTTAAACATTAAAGTAAGTACGTTTTCTAAGAACAGGCCTGAAATTATACATCAGAGAAAAAAAACCAAACAAATTATTCCAGCTTTTTCAGACATAGCTTTTGCAGAGTAGCCTGGAAACCAATTGTAAGTGGATGTAATTAGCATCTGATTTAATCATGCTAATACGTCTAGTAGCAATTATTTATATGTGACATTACAAGCTAGTCAAACTAAATTAAATCTACTCTTGTGGTTATGTTTGTAGGAAGTTTTTCCTGATCACTATGGACTGGCCTTCAACCAGCGGATCCAACAGCTTGTGTCTTTGCTCCTGTCAAGGCTGGAGCAGCTGCTGCCTATACCGGACCTGCAGCAGGTACTCTAGAAGCCTCTCCAGAAGAGGAGTAGTCATGCACCTGCGTTTGTCAGTGCCTATGTGCAGTTTGTCAGTATGAAAACCTGGATAAAAATACAAAATTTATATGGCATCAGTACAAAAATGTCTCCTCAGACAGCCAGCCTGCAGTATGCTGCTTATAGTTTGCAAAACGTAGCTTTGTTGTGATGATATTCTCTTAGCTTCCACACCACGACTCTGGGATTTTTGCAATTGGACTACTTCCCAACTAACAAAATTGTCTTTCTTATACGTAATAGAAAACTATAATAGTCTTAGCTTTAGCAAGATGACTTATATGCACAAGAACAAGTCATGAGCATAGGCTTATGCCTTTGCTGGCATCTAATTAAAAAAAATTCTAGGAAAACAATAATATAAAAAAATTTCAGTGGTTTTGAAGCCGTAACTTTTTAAAACTGAAAATCTGTCCTTGCCTTATACAGACGGAACTGTTTCAACCTTGACACGTGCGCTGCTAAAGTAGTCGTACAAATAATAAACATCTGTTGAGTTTAATAAAAACGATCTTATATGAAATGCAAACCTTTTTAGTAGGGCTGCAGCACATACCGTAACGCAATCATCATCGCAACATTAGTTTTTGCACTTCGTGGAAACAATATTTTATAGGATGTCAATGCGCTTGATGCTCAAAATTCATGTATGTTTATTATGGAAGTGATGCTAAAGGCCAGCAAAAGTTGTGGAGAAAAAAAAATGATCAGAAAACGTGACTTCATTGTGATCAACCTTTTTAAATGGAGTGTGTAAGTGAATATCACTGACATACCTGCATGTCTCTGGCCTCTTAGACTGCAAATTGGCTCAATGAATCATCTGCTTCAGAAGATCTTGGACATCATCTGTCTGAACCTTTTCCTCTGAAGACTCTGCTGCTCCATCACAGAGAGCTGGGGATTCTCAGTTCAGGTGAGATCAAGGATTTGCTGTCTCTTTTCTCTTTTTTTTTCTTTTTTCTTCATCTAAAGTGACTCCAGTGCTTAAGAAGTTTCTCTTTAGCAGCTTCTTCAAGCACTGAAGAGGATGTAATATTATCCACGCTGGCCCTCTCTACTCAAACCGATCAGTTCAGCGAGGATGATGAAGAAGAGGATGATAAATTCGACAGTGATGAGGAGACGCTGGCGCTAGATGACTTGGAGGAAGATTCAAATCAGAGCTTGGATGACACATCAGAAGACTGGGTGCCCAAAAATAAATCAGGTCAGCTGAAGGCCAGAAAAACTCTCTAAGTGGACATGGTTTTTTTTTACTCTACTGAACTAGTATGTTCTTTCTGGTGTTTTCAGGGTCTCTCTCTCGTTTATTCATCTGCACCAAGAGTCCAGGCACACAGCCGATACAGAGGACGGTTCGAAAGAATGTCCAGCGTCAGCAGCAGTGGACGGCTCCTGTTCAGAACCCCAAGGCAGTTAAAAAGGTCAACAAAAATCAGCTGAAAAGCCAGGAGATGAAAAGTAAAAGCAAGAAAGCTGAAGACAACCTAAAGAATCAGCAGAGAGCCAAACAGAAAGACAGTGTTGACAAAAAGGGGGAACATGACCAGAAGAAGGACGGGGCGAAAAACAAAAGTCGGCGGAAACGGAAAGAGCCCACAGGGGAAGATAAAAGGTTCCTGAGTACGCGACCGGTGAAGAAAAGCCTCACAGAAGAAGAACTCAAATGCCCAACGTGCCAGAAGAGATTTATACATCCCAACCAGCTTACGACACACTTGAAGCTCCACTCCTTCCGCTACAGCTGCATTGATTGCGAGAAAGGATTTACAAGCCAGTCTGGGTACTATTACCATCAGAGACTTCACAAAAGAGGGCGAGAGTTCACCTGTAAGGAATGCAACAAGGGATTCTTGTGCCAGTATTCTCTCAAGCAGCACGAGCACCTGCATGACGGTCCCCCCAACTTCTGCGATATCTGTGAAAGACACTTCAGCAAAAACGGCTTCGTTAGACACATGCAGATGCACAAGGGGGAAAGGAACTTCCTGTGCACCACCTGCGGAAAGGCGTTCCTCTCGTCCGGGGAGCTGCGGCTGCATAATCGGTCGCACACGGGCGAGATGCCGTACACCTGCATCCACTGTGGGAAGGGCTTCTCCAGCAAGGGTCACCTCGTTGTCCACACACGCTCTCACACGGGGGATCGTCCGTACCTGTGCGCCGAGTGCCCCAAACGTTTTCTTACCCTGAACTGTCTCAAGAGGCACTCTCTCAGCCACAACGGGGTCAAGCCTTTCAAGTGTCCCAACTGTGACCGGGAATTCTCCCAGCAGGGGAATATGAAAAGACACATGGCAACTCATAAACCTGACTGCTAGTGGTTTGACTTTGGTCACACAACAATACTTGTAACTATGGTTTTCAGGATCCTTTGGCATATTTTCAATGATATGGTCAGTAAAACACTGTGTTAGTAATTGCAGTTTTTCACTTTGGTGAATCCTGTTATGGAACCTATTAAAATACATTTACTAGTTGATGCCTTCTCATTGAATTGTCTTTCTTTTTCTCTTTCTGTGTGAAATGTGAAACTGTTATTCTGACAAATATGAATACTTCAAAATTACCTGAGTCAGATGGCGGCCTGTTTTGACTGTCCTGCAGGTGTCATAATTATTGAAAGTTTGATTCAATCTTTCTTTAAAATCAAAGAAAGCTTTCACACAGTTATGCCTTTCTTTGCTTTGAAGCTTTTTTTTTTTTTTTTTTTACAAACTAATTAATTATTTGGATTTATTTATTTTATTTTGTCAAAAATTACTTTAATCAATCTATTAGAAATCTTTTTAGAATTTTTTTTAAAATTATGTTGTGTTTTAATGTACAGCACTTTATATCAGCTGTGGTTGTTTTAAAGTGCTTTATAAATAAAGTTGGTATGGTATGGTAAATCAATTTAGATTAAAAAAAAATACCAGGTTTAATTTCATTTTAAACCTTTGTACGTCTGCTTCCGTCACGCGCCTCGGTCACTTCCGGTCTATTGAAAATGGCATTTTACTCTTAAGTGCTTGCAGGGTTTCCCAAGGTAACAATTACTTCAATAAGTAAGCTGGAGACACATTTGGAGAAGGGTTTTAAGATGTACGCCTCGTCATACATTCACGGATACGAAGGTGAGTTTTGTTTTCTTTAAACTTTGTAGCTAACATTAACTTTAGCTTATGCTAGTAGGCAATATTCTCGGACATTTTTATTATAAAATTTACTTTTTAAACATTTTCATCCATTCTAATGTTTTTACTTTATTTTGTGTTATTTTCAAGTATATTGCCGTAATGTGTGTTTGTTGTCATTACTGTCAGAGATAAAGTAACGAGGGAGATTACGGTTCGGACTTTTTGCTTCCGAACCACGAGTAAGCACAACAAGCCTCATAGTTTAAAAGTAGGGCGGCCCTGGTACTTGTCAAAGTTCTAGTTCAACTGACTGTTCAGGTTCAAAGTTGTTGCTTTTAGAAATGTATGGTCGTGTGGTCACCGTATTATTGCGTTTTACTACTTTTGCATGCTTCTTGTGAAGAACTCAAACAGGCATTGTGTTTACAGCAGTGTGTGCACTTTTGGGGCCATGAGGACGGATTTTTGAAAGATGCAGCATAATTAAGAAACTGGATTCGGGTTCTACTGAGCATCTATGGTGAGTAAAATATATTGTTGTACAGCAGAAATGTTACGAGTGTGTTTATTCTGTATCTTTGAACAGTTCACCTTCCAAAGGCGCCACAGAATATTTTTTATTTATTTTTTTACTTTGAATTGTACAGCTTTTTGGGGATTTGAATATCTTTTTATTGAGAAAAGCCTAACTGTGAGAGGCACTGCTCATAGAATGTTGTAGAACTGTAAAGACTCATTTACACCAGTTTTGTCTGGAGGAAAGGGCCAAAACTCCAGTAAGCTATTTTGAGAAACTTCTGGAAGGATGTTCAAAATAAGCCATTAAGTTTAAAGGGGTATTGTACAAAATATTGAGAAATTAGGTGAATGCTACTAAGTTTAAAACTGTATTTTTAAATTGTTTTGGCACTAAGAATAAATAAATTGTGGCGGTAACCTCAACTGAATATAGTTTAAAGAGGAGGATAGTTTTCAGTTAACTATTTTCTAATCCTCCAACTGACAATTGACCTTTGTGACAGAGGATCACATCACTAAAACATCAACAGAGGTTCCTAACACCTGCCTACCATGATGTCCAGTGTGACGCATGTGGAAGGAAAAGCAAAACAGCTGTAGGAAATGCAATTTATTTGCAATTTTTTAATAACATCATTCCTCAGATAAAAATGCAATGTTACAGGAATATACATCAGATATTAATTTAAAACTTGCTTCAAGGGACCATACAGTCTAAATATACTTTTTCCTTTTTTATTTACTGGTAGCGTGCGTTATAAGCAAGACAGACTCTGTCACCAATGACAGACTGACAAGTTACAGATACAAACTGTACATATTTACAAATCAACTTTTTTTTATTTTTATTTCTTTTTTACTTTAATTTTTATGGAAAATAGGAGTAGAAAAAGTGATTGAATTAATATTCTGATTTATTTAATTTGTATTCTTTCCCTTTCTAATACCTAAATTAAATTGACAGAATAATAATAATAATAAAAAAATTATCTTTAGAAAAAAAGAAAGAGAAGAAGAAAATAAGGGTGTGTAAACTAAGACACCATGCAGTCATCGCTAAGAGACCAAATGACAATGTAAGGAAACTAAAATATGTTGGGCCAGTGTCACTTTGCAAAATTGGTATGAATGAAATCCCACCTGCTGTGGAGGGGGGAGTGGCTTATGTTTAAGAACTACAAAAATGGCCACCTGCCTCCAAAGCTACCAAGCACAATAATATACTCTAATTCATTATTTAGACCATAAATAGTGCTGTTAATATCACATTTAACAGTAGCGCCTTTGCTAACATTACAACAAATTGGTCTCGGTGTGATCACCTGCCTCTGAAAGAAAATGGAGCGATGAGGAACATCTTTCAGATGAATAAAAACAAACTGCTCAGTCCTATCAGTGATGGCCCTTTAACACTTTGCATGAGTAGTAACTGAAGACACAAATAGGACCATAAGACACTGCTGATGATAGGAGAGCAAACCCACACACCTCAGGCATTCACTCGGGTGAAGAAGGAATGAAAAAGAGCTTTCCTTAACCTTTACCTTACACGGAGCTGTGGATCTCATGCTGCTAACGACGACTAGATGAAAACACTAATAAAGCTGCATCACATAGACACACAAGGCCCATATGTACCTAACTCTTTGTGCTGTAAAAAGAGAAACCTGCAGAGACCTAAGTGACGTGGGGGCTAAGATAATTGGCTATGAAATACTGTTCTTTCACTCTATTGTCTCACCCTTAACATCTCCAGTAAGATCACCACTGTCTCCTACATTCAAGGGATACTTTTATGGATTTTTAAAATAATTTTTAGTGCAACATAAAGTAGCTCTTGTGTGTAAAATTAGCAGGAAGAGACGAAATGCAAGCAGAAACATTCAATTCTAATGAGGATGAGAACTGCTGCTGCTTTGCAAAGCTGCTCCTATATGCCTCTGGGGTCTAATACACTGATTTGCATTACACGTACATTGTATTTTATTCAGTAATATAAATGAAAGAGGGTTTGGGTGTAATTTCTTCTTTAAAAAAAAAAAAAAAGAAGCAATGTTTGTGCCACGTTTGTGGAGTTTCCAAGATTTTGGGGTTTACTCTGTTTGCATAACCGTAAAAAAATACAAACAAATCAAAGGAAGAAGCACAAGGCTTTTCAACGACCTATTAAAACAGTCATCCTATTGACATAAAGGTGCTGATGTATGTGCTGCTACACAATGGGTGATTTATACATAGTTATTCTGCATGCTGATTAAATCCTACAGTACAAGCAAATCTCTTCTGTTGCCTCCAGAGAAAAAAGAAGCAGGCAGCTCATCACCACCAACCTCTGATATGCTCAGTAAAGAAGTACTACACTGGCAAAACAGACACACCCCCCCCACAAAAAAACCCCCAATAAACCAAAGCATATTTTACAGATTGCAAATTAAGTGTTTTTTATGTGGTAGTTTTGCATACCTTCCATACATCATCCCAATACAGTTTCTGCAGAATCCTGCACTGCTCTTAGCTGTACTTCTATTTTATCAATAAACACATAATTAAGATTCCTTTTTTTTTTTTTTTTTTTTTTTTTGCACAAGCAACAACGATAAGAAATCTTTGCAAAAAGTAAACTCGTGTCAATTTAATGGAAGCATCTTGTTGATGATAAAACCAGGAACACTGCTGCCCTCTAGGTCAAAAATAGAAAAAAGCCAGCATCTGCACAATTCCAAAACTCTCACAACATGGGAACTGAAAATCTGATGTTTTTTTTTTCTTTTTTGTTTTATTATTATTATTTAAACATCAAAATCATACAACAGAATGCAACATACTGCATCAAGCTGTCAGTTTACATTTTGTAATTTTGATATCCTTCTATAATTTTAATATCTAAAATACATCAGTTTCATTGAAATCACTTAAATATATTAATATATCCCATCTTTTACTTTCTGCCCTCTTTCTGTCTGCTTTATCAATATAATCAAAATAATATCTGTATAGCAAACACAGAGATGTTTCTTTATGGCCTCCAAAAACAGAAGAATCAGTGTTTTTAATTAGATTTTTTTCCATCAACAGACTATGCTAACTTCACCTAGAAAAGATAATAATCTCTATTCAAAATAGCAATCTTAAAATATTTTGTCATGATTTTTCCATGAACAACAAAGACTGTGATTTACAAGAAAAATATAAAGCACTTCAGTTGCAACAATGGTAGATCCACATTAAGGAAACGTGAGGAAAATTCTCTCCCAGCCTCATGCTTGCAAAAATGGAAAACTCATAATACTTTAATATTGTATGTGGTTTAAAATAATTTGCAGCAGCTTCCCTCTGTCATCATTCAAACCCTCATCGCATCTTTTCTGTCACAGAAACATAACTACATTCAGATCACCTTAGCCAAAAAGAAAATCTGCTCAAACTTCATTCTTAGGATCAACCCAACATGTTCTTTAAAAACATGAAATGTTCTTTTAAAACCTTTAACATAACACAATTTGTTCTGATTCTACATCTGGAACCTGCAGTGTAAAAAGCAGCAGGAGCATCGTATCGGCGTGAAGCTGAAATCAACTAGCCAGACGCGAACCTACATGTATGTTGCGTTCTAGCCTGCAGAAAATGCAGATAAAAATCTATACAGATGTAGTTCAAGTCCTCCAAATTCATCCTGGAAGATAAGCATAGAAGCTACACAATTATGATTATTCACAATATATGGAAATCTAGTCCTTTAGAGGTTGATTTTTTTTCTTTTTCTTTTTTGGTTTGTTGCTAGGATAATGCGTGTTTTGCTGATGTAGGACTACTTCCAGAGAGACGCGTCTCTCAGTGCTACAGTTGGGGTTTATGAGCAGACCTTGACCTGTGTTGACAGGCTGCTGGTAGGTTGACGTGTCGAAGACAAACGCAAGCAAAAGCATGTTAGATTTCAGGTCTGTCTGCGGATTAAAATAGACCAACATTTGTCATGTGTCTTGCAGAAATGCCGTGATGTTTAACATCTGTTTAACATCCTACTTTTTCTTTTTCTTTTTTTTTTTTTACTGAAGTTGAAACATTAATGGTGATCAGACCTCCACTGTTTTTACTTAGTCTTTTTCCAACCCAACATTTTGCTGTACTTGTGGGACTGGAAAATCCGAAATGCAGCAGAATGATTCAAATGGTTACCAACATCCTCAGATTACTTTGTATACAAGTTGCACAAAAGTACTGTAGTTGCAAAATTTCAGGAATTTTCAAAGTTGGAAACTCTCCATGGAAATTAACATGAATTTGTAGGAGTGAACGTAAAGTTTAAACTACAATGTTTGCCTTTTAACAAGAAAATTAGGTTGGGAAAAACCCTGGACCATTATGGATGATTGAACTGAATTAAGGTCACATGTTTGACTCCAGAGCACTAGAAGATTAAAGCCATACATTTGATTCCTTGTACTACTTAAAATTTTGATTGTATTTTTGTATAAATCTAAGGCAGGATATTATTGTTTAAGTATGTCTACCAGGAAAAATATTTTTACTTGTGTCCCTAATTTCCTGTTTATTAGCATCAATTCCTATGAAAACCTTCCAATCAGCAATGTTTTCAAAATTTCCAGAAATGTTGCGAACAGTTTTGTTTCTCTTTGCAAGCTTATCATGTGCAACAAGGAACGATGTTATGTTTTTCTTCAGAAAACCATATTATTTCAGGTTTTACTTTTGGCTAAAAACACAGTCAACGCATTGGGAGTGCCACCTATCATTAGGCCCAAATAAGACATCCAGTCCAAATACATTCTCATATAGGTCCCCTTCCCGCTCCTTATCTTGACATTCTTGTGATTAAATATTTATATTTGTATACATTTTTGCTATATATAGTATATAAAAATATACAATCTTTAGCTAGTGGTGAGAAAAAAGGTATAATCCGCTATATAGGACCAATACTTTATACCTCTAAAGAGAGAGAGCCTCATGCATGTGAACGTTATTTTAATATATAATCCACCATGTAAGAACTTAAGCCACCCAAAAAGTTCCCAATATCATTCCCTCAAATACTTTCCAAAATAGCCTTCCCATTGTCATCAGTCGCCAGATTGTCATCATTCTGCCAAAAGTGGGGTAGGGAGAAAATCAAGCATTTATCAATCTTTGCTTTCACTTCAGTATATTATTTCACTTTGACCTGCAGAGGGAGTAATTTTCATCAAAGCATGGAGTGAGTGAATCAGTCTGACCCACTGTTACTCCAAACGTACATAAAGACAGCAGGGATTCGTGAAACGCAGGAGTAGGAACGGGTTTAGTGATGTAACGGATCCACAGTTTCCATTTGGTGGATGGAACTAGCACAAAAACCAGAAACAAATTACAATGCTTTTGATTAATATGTGTAGTAATCGTGCAGATTTGTCATATTCACCACTTCACATAATTACCGTTGGACTGGTAAAACATACTTTTATGAAGAAAATATGAACTTTTTGGTCCTTTTTAACAGAAATAGTTGCCACTGGCTCATCTTCTATAGGTCTGCAGAGCAAATTAGTAATGACAAGCAAAATAAAACTCGTGTTAGAAACGCCTGTTTAGGCCTGGGAGCTAATAATGTATTCTGCGTACTAATGTTTTCACATCTTTCGGTAGCTCAGGGTATCAGAAAGTACAAAACAAGCCCATAAAACACAAGATATGCAAAATCATCTTCCAGATATCTCTCTGCCACAAGTCCAATGTTGTAATGTGCACTATAGGTAGAAAACGCTACTGTTTGTCAAGGTGATATGATACGTAATGAGTATGAAACAACTAAACATGCAGACTTCATTTGATGCCGATGAATCTGAGGAAAATAGTATAACTCGTTCAGAAATGCACCTAAAAAGCAAAACAAATCCACAAAGGGGTCGAGACAGGAACATGAAGCGAGCTGCGTTTTCCTGCTTATCGAAAAACAAAGAATATTTTTTTTTTCCACTGTGACTCGGCTGTAACTAGATTGTTATTCAGCAGCAAGAAAAAACACTGTTTGCAGGTCAGATTCAACCAAAACTCTAGTGCGACAAAAGACATAAATACAACTTAAGTATACTGCACTGTAATGTACCTGATTTCAAGTATTTTAGGTTTTTTGTTTTGTGGAAACCACTGAGTTAATGAGAAAATGACACATCTTGAAGCAGATTTTCCTTTTTTTGTAGACTTTCACACATGTTTACTTCAGGAACTTTGTACACAGTCATAGTTATTGCATTGTTTTTGCATATCTTGTGGATTGCAGGTTCCCACCTGCTTATATCATTACACTGCAACACAACACCTCAACGGTCATGCTAACGGCAATGCTGCTTGACTTCACAGGGGGACGCCACAAGGCTCTGAATCTCTCACACCGGCAAAAGAAAAACACAAAGCAAGCCTGGTTGGGGCACTTCTGATATGCGCAGACTGCTTTGTGCATATGTCAGGATAAAAGAAGTGAACATTTTTCACCATAAATAAATTACAGTATATATATAACATCTGTCATTGAGACAGTCCCCATATCTGTCAGTAGATGAGTATAAATATTTAAGAGTAGCATCTTCCAAACTATTAAAATGAAAAAAAAAAAAAAAACAGAAACCAAGACACAATGATAGACAGTGCTTATTATCTGAATTTAAATGCTGCTCAGGATTCAAGCAGACCATATCTCTCCACCTTAGACATTCAGTTGAAACAGCTTAAAACGTAAATGAGCAAATGGCCAAGAAATGAACTTTCAGTTTGGGTTTCCAGACAAGTTCAGATAAACTGTAAGAAATGCCAAGGTGGTCTTAAGGAAGCCACAGGCTCCTGTGGAAGTTTGGGAAGGTGAGGACCCAAACTTCAGGATATTGTCAGAAACACAAGACGGTAACAGCACTGCAGCTATAAACCCACTCAACATTCACATTTAGATTGCATAATAATGACAGAAGTCTGTTACTGGCACAGGATGCAGTGTATGGCAGTGTGTTTATGCATACTCTCCGCTGCCACAAACCTGCTCTGTTTCACATGTAGAGCACGACAGTGATGGGAAATCCAAGGAAAAAAAAATCTTTTGGGCATATGTTGATGTATGTTGGTGTTTTTGTGTGAGCTGTAATTTATTTCACTTTTATTTATAAAAATGGGACGTCGGATGACAAAAGCTTTTCCAACATGTTGGAGTTTAGTTAAAATTACTCTTGTCAGTAATGGCTTAAAAATATATACGACTTTGGTTCAGCTTTAGCTGTTTCAATCAAATATTTTGATGTATTTACATCTGAGTTAAGTTTTAGCAATTTTACTGAGTTTTCTTTGCTTTATTTAGATTCTTATCTAAATTGTTTGTTTAAAAAAATCCTCAAAAGTTCCTCAAAAAGCTGCATCTCAGATCCAAACATGCTATGACCTTGTCTCGAGTAGATCCACTTTATAATTAAGTAATACATGTGAATTTATTATATAAAAAAATTAACCTGCTATTTAGTTGGAGACAAAAAATTTTTTTAAAGCCATACTCCCTTCAAGGCGACCTAATTATTTTTCCTGATGCATAATCATACATGATAAATGGCTCTAGCTTGTATTACAATTTATCCAGCAACCAATGTAACCAGTGAATGAAATCACTCTGAAAATCCATGTTTCTCGATTGTGTGTTGGGAATAAAATATTTTTGTGATCGGAGTCTCAAAGAGGTTTTATTAAGTCTTGCAGCAACTGGACAACAGCCCTAGGTATTCATGGATGTGTCACTGTGGCAGTATAAATTTAAACTTTTCTGTCCTTATGAATAAGGAGAAATGCAACTGTAGTAATTAGGGATGTCCCGAGTCTGAACACTGAACTCAACTCCTGAGACCACAAATAGTGGCAGATTTTAGGTGCCCTAAGCCAAGGAACAACTTCTCGTGCAAGTTATGTTCAAAGATGATGAGCTGGAACCACACTGGAATATCCAACAAGCCACTTTATAAACAACTTTTAACAAAACAGAGTAAACCTGCTGGCATTTGCTTAGCACTACAGCAAACTACTCTGCATGAAAACGTAAGCGTTAGCAACATGTGAGCTTATTGAAGGCTATCTACATGTGCCAAGTCAGATATATGTTAAACATAGCATGGTCCTGCAGAAACTCCTTTAGTGAGAAAAAAATCTAACGTTATGTCCAGAGTGTTATTGGTAAAGTGTATAAAGTTGCCACACGTCCCCTAAAATACTGAATCATAGGTGAATTAATAATCGATAATGGATTTCTCCCGTTTTCAAAACGATACAAGAAAGGGTTTTGACAAGTATTTGTTTTCTTTGAGATTTATTCTGCTTTTGGCTATTTGCCAAACCTAAATATTTCAGATAACCAAAGACTTTTTAATATCAGTAAAAAAGATTACCTGAGTGAATACAAAATGCAGTTTTCAAATGATAATTTCTTTTGCCACTCCTGGGAAAATTTATCACTGTTGTGTGTTTTCTGTGTTAGTGGATTATGTGGCCCCCGGTGGTTTGCTGGAGTCGGGAAATTACCGTAACCCTCTTTAGGCTGTATTGAGATGTCACCGACTTTGTTTCTCTTCCGTTCTTGAAAATTTTTTTTTTTTTTTTAGACCTGGACATGTTTTATAACCTACTTTGTGTCATTGGACAGGTTCCATTTAAGGGTTTTTTAAATGTAATTGTGCTGGGAAAATAGCACTTAAAAAGGCGATTTATCATAGTTAATTAATGATTTATTCATGACGATTATAATAAAGTGCCAATTTGAAAATATTTATATTGGTTTTCAGGCACATACATGGCATCAATCTTGATGAACTTTTGAACTTTCATTCTGTATTGACAAAATGCCAATACTCTTGTATTGTTTGAATTGTTTACTGGAGGCAAATACTTCGGATTAAGACATCCCTATGTGAAAGGCTCCGTGACCTCTGGCCAAATACTATACACTTCCTGATCAGCAGTTTTATCTGACCACAGACCTCACCCCAGCCTATATCCAAATGGGGGAGTAAAGAAAAGCTATGCAATGACTAGAGTTCAAAAATGACACTTTTCTCTCGGCCTCTTGGCTAAGAAAAGTAAAAACCGTGCTAACGTAACCACAAAGCTTTGGAAGTATGCCTGTCCACGTTAACCCTGTGTTAAGGAGGCCCATTACTACAAAGACACACCCTCTCACACACATAACATACTTGTAATGCTACCTTAATTTACTGTATAGGCTTAAAATCAGCTTTTTATAGTACACAAGAAAACACGCACACATTCCCACAGATTTTCTCTTCTGGAAAAAATAAATAAATAAATAGAATCTGTAAAAGGTGCATACAGATAGAGAGAAAGACCCTCCCACACACACGCGCACACACACACACTCCATCTCACACACTCATAAGTTGTACTAAAATGCAGACTCGCATATGCACAGACATTTATAGGTACACTCACCCGCACACACTACGCCCTGCTTCGATACTTAAAACCTCTAAAAATTTTTTTCCTAAAAATAAACCGAGCAAAAATACATTTATAAGACCAGCACCCCGATTGTGCAAACAAATCAAAGATAAATTAAAACAATAACGTCATGAATATAAAACAAAATATTGTCATGGCTAGCCAGTTTTGCACAATATTGAACTGTTAAATACATAGTGGGCACGGTCTGTAGAAAGAGTGTGTGGCAGCAAATCCGACAGGATTCCAAGCTGACAGGAAGAGGAGGTGCCCCAGAGAAGGAAGTGAGGTTGATTGACGGCATTTCTGCTGCGGAACACCCCCACCCCCTTGACCAGAGTGTTCTTTTTATTTCTTCCTTTCAATTGGTCACTCCCATTCTTCCCTCCACTTTACCATCTGGGTAGCCCTGCATGACAAACATTCGCCTCCTCAAGTGCTGAAAAAAGCACAAAAATCCAGCTATAAGGGGTGAGTGGTTGTAAGATAGCAAAGGAGAGGGAGGAAGGATAGGATAGAGAAAGGAGTGAGGAACAGTGAGGTATGAGGCAGAGAAGGGGGCTGAAGGGTACTTTCTGTCTCTGCTTAGCCACCAGTTGCTCCTCTAGTTTCCTGTTTGGTGGAGCCAAACAAGGAAAGGGTGGATGTGGTGGAGCTATGTCGAGGTGAGTTGGTCTCATGCTGGAGTCCAGCTGAGAAAACCAGCTGAGAGAAAAAAAGAGCCAGCCATCTCCCTGTTGGCCAGGAAGTTTCCCCCCTTCCTGTTACAGCCCTGTTGTGGCTGCTAAATCATTCCTCCAATCCTCCCTCCCACACCTGGCTGGGGGGCAGCGTGTCCCCCTAAATCCACTCTCGGGCTGGCAGGACTGTGCTCCAGGTTCCCGTAGCTTTGGAAGAGGAGGAAACGGGATTTAAACGGGGCATTCTTGTCCCCGTTTTACACAATACAGCGCTTATTCATCGTTGAACGAAGAACGAGTTGACCTTTGACCACAGGAGGGGCTGTGGTCAGATGGTAATCTTCAAGAGACCCTCCATGAGCTGGTCTCGTGTCCTCTACCTGGCGTCATGGCGGCCAGTCAGACAACAATAACACACTACCAAATTAGGCATAAGAAATGAAAACATTAACGGTACTGTCCATAAAAGGACTTCCTGCTTCTTTGTTTGATCTTTCTTCCATTCAGTCTGTCCTTTGTCTTTTTTTTTTGCTTATCTCCATTTTCCTGCTCATCCCAGGTTGAGGACATGATAAAACTGTGAGGCACTTTAGAGCCACACTCTGACACGTGTGGTGAACACACACATACGAGTACAAATAGAGAAAAACACACACACAGACACACAGAAGCACACACTCAGATAGTATATAGTCTGATATACTTTACTGCAGACACACATACTAACTCAATTAAACCCGACAAAGTCTTGTTGTGTTAAAGGTGCATCGCTGGCCGCCATTGTCCAGAGTGACAGAGTGAGCCAACCAGCCGCCGCACTGTTCGCCAGCACTGACAAACCTCAGCCTCTGACGGGCCAGTTTGCTGATCAAAGCTGCCAAGGCGGCACCTACAAGCTCGTCACGCACTCCAAATCCTCATCCTCCAAAAGCCTGCTGTTCTTCTGCCGTGCTCCTGCCACCACAGCTGAACTTCTGTGGGGCCTCTCTTCCCTCACATTTGCCTCTTCCTCCTCCTCTTCTCGCCCTCCCACTCTAGATAGCAGTTCCTGTCGCTCCTCTATAGAGGATGGACCGTGGATGTAGCCCCTGCCCCCTCCGGCCTCTGCCTCCGCGTCGCCTGGACTCAGGCCGGTGATTCGGTCCCTGTGCGTTGCAGCTGCTGCTGCATTGTGGCAGGGGAGGCTGCCATTAGGGCTGTGCTGAGAGGTGGAAGAGGTGCTTGATGTGGGGTTTGTGGCAGTGTTGCCATTGAGAATGTTGCTGGCTGCGTGCTCCATCTCCTCAATGGTCATGTCGCAGGCATCAGCTAACTCTGCTTTGGTTGCCTCAATGAATGAAGGGTCCTGGGCAAAATGACCCAAACCTTCTGATATAAGAACCTTTGAAACAAAAAGCATAAGGAAGAAAAAGGGAGCAAGGAGTTAGTGCCTTGCTAAAGCCTTTGAAAATCATGTTTATTTTACAGCCACAAGTATGTTTTAATCAGATTTTGTCTGATGGGTAAACATGAAGTCATGCATAATTAAGAATTAAAATAAACAGCATTTAAATGGTATGCATTCTATTTAGCTGCCCTGAGTCAATACTTTGTAGAGCCACCTAATGCTTCAATTAACACTATAAGTCTTTTTGAGAGTTAAGATTTTCCTCATTCTTCTTTAGTTTGGTCTTTGGGCGGCGGCTCTGTCCGTTCTACCCCAAATTTGTCTTGTAGTTTGCTCCATACCTCTTAAAACCTTTATTAAAAGACCCCAGAAGTTTTTTTTGTTTTGTTTTTTTTTTAACCCTCTGTGGCGGGATCACACTGACGCTTCGTACACTTTTATGAGGTTTTGTGTGATTTCGGGAATTCGAGAACTGACGATCTGACGTCACACTGTCTTTGGCTTATATGAGCAATACCTTCTCAGAGAGAAATACAACATTTGTACTGCAGACTCATTGCAAGAGATAACGATTTAAAGATCACACAGAAATGCAGGAGGTAACGGCTTTTAGTTATTGTCATAAAATTTTCAGCAAACTGATTTTTCTGATGGTTCAGTAGACTACTAATTAGATGACTTCTGAAGATAGTTGTAATGTTTTTCCATTTGAAACCATCAAAGTAAATGGTACTGAATACAAATACACACAGCACTTTTCAGATGTCTGTAAAAACTTTCAAAAACCATGTATCATTTCTCCACTTCAGAATTATTCGCTGTCTTGAGCTGGTGTGTCATATTTGAATACTTTCACAAAGCATTATGACTGTTTTTCTTTCAATATGTATGCTAATAGATGTAGATGAGATGCAGCAGAGACTTACCGCTTCCACTAGACTGCCTGCACTGCCATGAGACAGCGAGCTGGGGTCCTTCCCCGAAAGCGATGGTACAGTGAGTGACACCGGCCGCGGTGGCCTTTGACTGGGCACCGGCGTAGGGCTAGGACTGTCCACTGGGCTATTCCCATTACTGTCGTTGTACCTAAGTGCAAGGCATTTATTTGATTTAAAAAAAAAGCAACAGGTTCTGAGTCTATGCTACCAACTGTTATTTAATATGAAACCATCTAAGTTTAGGTCTTACCAGGGCCCACAATTTACAGAAGGCAGACTGGTATTGAGCTTTTCATGAGAGTTGGAGCCCTCTAGTCTTAGAGAAGGAACTCGCTGCTGGGAGGCATCACTGCATTGGTCTACAAACACAAAAAAAGAGGAAAATAGGAGAGAAAATCACAACGGGTACAAGGGGAACTCACTGGGAGTAAAACATCCAAATTCTGGTTTCAATTATTTATTTTCCTTTTGTTAAATGTGGAACCTATGTCTGTAGAAAAGGCAATAATTTTTCATCTTGATGGCCTTTGATATGTACCTGTGGGGTTTGCTGCAGGCGTGGAACAAAGTCGGCTGAAGAGGGTAGGTGAGTGACTCCTTCTCAAAAGGGGACTCAAACCTGCCACTGCAAGAGCCTGGAAGAGAAAACAGAAGAGGGGCAAAAAGGCAATTATAATACAGGTGCACTTAGTAAAATCTTTTTTTTTTTTTTTTTTTCCCGAAATTGCAGTTTTTTGACTACAGGGTTGCTCTAAAAGGTTGTTCTGTCACTAGAAAGGTAGGGGTCTGTTTTTTGAAGCTTACCAGGTACTTTCTAGGGCTTCTGTGAAACTTGACAGGCATTTCTGACTAAATTTTCCATGAACATTGGTGAAACTTAAATTGTACTTGGCTCAGATATTTTTTTTAGGTATTTTCATGGAACTCAATATTTACTTTTTGAAACGTTGAGACTTTTATGAAACTTGCCTGGCATTTTCCTGGAGCGTGACAAGTAACATTTACTTCGTGCAACTTGCCACATAATCCCTGGAGATACTTGGATATTTCACTGGAATTTACTGTATGCTTTCAGAAATTTAACATTTGCTGTTCTGGAAGTTGGCAGTTACTTTTCCAGATATTCAGCAAAACTTGGAAAAATCAGTGAAAGTTTCAGAAAACTACGTGTACACTACAAAAGTAACAGAAAGTACTTGATGTTCTAGAAGCATTCCAGAAAAGAACACTCAGGGTCAGTGTGACCTCGCTGGACCGCGCACAGAGCAAAAAACCCGTGAGATCTAAATGACAAAATTTTTCTTAAAACTGGGGGAGGGTTAAAAGATTACATCAGTCTGTTTTTTCTTTTGACAAATTTTGCCGACGTTTACTACCTGGTGATGTACAAGATGTAAAGGTACAGCAGTCTTCTGCGAGACATCTGGCCTTGTCTGCCTCCGGAGACACTCCAGGTGGAAGGAAGATCTCCGTGCTGACACACAAATGGCACACAAAAAAATGCAAATGTACAAATTACATCCTGTATATTTATACAGAAGGTGGTCGCACAAATTTCTGTACGTGAATCTTTGTACACACCCAGGGTAGTTGGACAGAGGAAGACTCTTCGTGGAGACTGCCACCCTCCTCCTCCTTTTTGCTCCTCTACTTCTTCTGCTTCCTCCATAGGAGTGAGCTGTTTACATGTTTCGTCATGATACACCAACCTAAAAAGGGTACAAATAAATACACAAGAAAAAATGAAATCAGCCATGTGCTCTGATCAGATGCAGGCTAAAGGCTAAACTGTGAGTGTTTTTCAGCAGTACATGTCAGAAGAAAGTGAGTGCTCATCGTCCTGGTACTCCCTGTCGTCACCATAACTCTCATCGTACGTCTCCTCTGTTGACCCCTCCCCTCTCTGGATGATTGGCAGACGACTGTCACTCGAGTCCGAGCTACAAATAAATTGGCCAGCGACCAAACAAGCACAGCAAACAAACACAAACAAAATTAACACAGACACACATCACAGATGGAGGCACATTGAGAAACATATGCAAACACATTAAAAAAAAGCAGCTGATTAGCAGCAGAACAGCAATGAGCTTCAGAGGAGAGGGATAAAAACCTGGAGTGACCTGACTACTGCAAATGGAAAACGGTAGTAGGAGGGGGGGGGAAACCTGCAGAGAAGCGGCTGGGATTTATGGTTGTTTTGTTGAAGCAAAAAAGGTGAATAGCACTGAAGACAACACTTGGAATATGAGAAATGATAGCCAGACTGAAATTCAGACATCTTTGAAAAGCATATGAGAGAATAATGTTGAGTTGAATTTCACCGGCATAGGCTCCGACAGCATTGACTTTACAGCAAATTAAACGGGGCGTCATTGAAGAAAAAGTTTTAAAGTGAAAGATTAAATTCACTTTGACTATATTTGAATGCAAAAGTGTGCATGCAATGGACAAACTGAAGCAAATTTTGTTTGATCATAATGTTTTTAGAATATTGTCTGAGGACACTGAAGAGTAATCTTTAAATGTGTTTTTGTGATTCATTCCTCCTGACAGCTAGTATTTGGGACTCCATCTGTGTCACCATATCCAAGTTTTCCTGCTTTTCTCCTGCTTAGAAAAAAAATGCTCAATATCTTGGGTCCATAGTGTCATTCCATATTTTTCTGATTTGGAGTTGGAAAGAAGGATTACAAAGTCAATATGTCAAAGGCTGTCAGTTCTGTTTCATCACAACAAATTGCAGGTTTTTGTTTTTTTTTAATCAGGAAACACTTTCAAAGATGTCTTATCAGTTGGATCCGTTTCATACTCCAGATTTCAGCTTTAAGGAAACATTCTGACATTTAAATTTCAGTCCTTTTCTTCTTCACCAGAGTGTTTGTATAAAAGCACAAATTTCCCACAACCTGCCTCACCAAGTCTTGAATATATTGTAAAAAATGAATTCCGTAATATGTTGGTTTTTTTTTTTTTCCTCTTATTTGTGCAGCAAAATGTAAATGTATTCTGAAAACATTCTGGTAAAGAAAAATAAAATAAAATGTCAGCTATTTCAGGGTTCCACAGCAAATTCTGGGTTAGATCAGTGTTCAAGTAAAACTTTAATAAAACCATTCAGGACGACTGATGAATTCATAACGAAGCCTGTCCTCTTGCTATGTAGATCAGTCTCTCTGAAAGTTTACATTTTGATTTATATGTGCTAAATCACCAAATATCATTTGTGGTAAAAGAAAAGGTAGTAAATAAACCTGGCTTAAGATTAAAGAACATAAAATGCATAAACCGTAGTTTTTTAAGGATGTTAATATTCTTGTTGGTTATCCGATGCTAAATATATGTAAATATAGAAAATGTGCTATCCAACTCAAAAATATTTAGGCTACCAGTCAGATGGTCAAAACTTGACATACAGGTGTAGAAGGATTTTAAGGCTTGATTTTAAGACATATTTATTGAACAGCTCTTATATATTTTATTGATAATACATACCACAAAACGGTTAGGTATGGAGCTCAGTGCATGTCTGGTTTCTTAGCTAGTTGAAACCAGATATTTACATACATTGAATCAGGGAAACTTTTTTTTTCCTGTTTTAAGTCATGATTACCAAAACATATTAGCCTAAGTACAGAAAAAAAGAGAATTTTTAGAATATGTTTTCATCATTTTTATACATTTGCTTTGTAATGGACATTCTGCAACTTGACTTTGTTGTCCTGAAGACATTTTCTAACTAATTTGAAGGTATATTTAAGGTCATTGTCAATCTGGAGGACCAATGTCAACCCAAGCTTTGAATTGAATTGAATAATTTTACTTTCTTCAGACCACAAAGGCATGAAGTTGTCTGTGTATTTCCACCTCAACCTATTTGCTCTTACGTACTCACAGATTTTTCTGTGGAGTATAACCCAAAGTTACTCATGGAAAATTTGCCTATTCCTGGCTGTTTTATTTGTTTTATTTTATTTTTTTAAGAAAATACCTAGCTGCAATGCTACTTGACGTGCTATTGGCTGTAGTTTGCAAAGCAGCCAATCCAGGAGCGTCATTCCTTGGTTCTGATTGGCTGGCACAGATGTGGAAGTCTGTAGATATTTGCTTCAGTAATAATGAAGATGGTTTCTGCTGTGCATGTTGATGCACATTCAGTTATATTTGCTTACCTGTTCTATGGTTTTGATTTGCTTTAAAAGTATGACTATAAGCTTTAAAATATTTAATAAGGTTTCTCCAGAGGTGAGGAAGCTAGTTATGTCTAACCCAGACCTGCTGTGATGTTCAATAAAAGAGCAGCAGCAGAAGCCCTCGACAGGAGAGGTTTGGGCATGTTGCACCAAACAGTCCATCTCTGGCTTTGGTAGCTGACTTTAAAGCTGCACTGCGAAGCCTGGCTTTTGCTGTAGCAACTACCGCATTATATGCATAGCAGCAAGTGCCATTGTTGCACCTTGACAGCTATGCTTCTTTGTAAAGCATCATAAGATTTTCTTTTCTTTTTTTTTCTGTGCACACCCAGGAAGCTTAAAGAACCCACACACATTCCCTCTCTGACCCCTGGCGACATACCGCATGAGGGTGTCATAAAACATCCTGCTTGCCAACAGAAACAAGAGAGAAGGAGAGAAAGCAGGTGATGAAGAGAAGAAAATAGTGGACTCATTTACGTCTGGAGGCAATTGTAAATTTTAAAAATTATGTTAACTCTCTATATTGAGGATAAACTTTAAAGGCAAGAGTATGAAAGAAATTAAAGCTCTGAGGGCAACAGTTGCGTGAAGATGCAGTAAGGTTTGTAAAGAGGATTTCAAGACTCACCTTTTTGGAGGGAAACACCACGCTGATCTAGGTAGTAGGATGGGTGTGAGGGGCTGGCCTGTGTGCCCATCCACCGTGCTTATGGACGGGCTTGGGAAGCGACTGACGCCCTGGGTCGTCACTCCGGTCATTCCAGTGTTGTTGGCGTTGTTGATGTTGGCGTTTGAACCTGATGAGGAGTACGATGAAGGGGTGAACGTGGTCGAGTCCATCAGCTTCTCGTGTGACGGGCTTTCCCCTTCGCATGGAGACCCTTTCTGACTTATGTGCAAGGGACGTTGAGTGGTGAAGGACTGTGGAAAGGACCCACGGCCGTCTGTCTGGTTGTAGTAGTTGACGTGGTTGCCGAACAAACCACCCGTTCGCTGTTTAAAAAGACAGAGGACTTAGTTACGGGCGCAGAAAAACTTCCCAAGAACGGGTGAAAAACTCTTTCTGTGTTTTAGTAATGCAATGCCTTTCAGAAGTAGTAACACCTCTTGCCTTTTTCACATTTTGTCATGTAACAACCACAAACTTTGCATATTGATGAGAATTTGTTTCAGAACCATGGATAATTGAAATTATGTATTTCTTTACCTTAGCTTTTCTATTACAAATTATTTTTGACAGGAAAAAATCTGAAAGTCTAACATGCAGTTGTATTCAGTCTAATTTAGTCTGAACCTCTGAAAAGACCAATACAAATACTTTGCATGTATTTGTAACAAGTTTTAAAAACATTTTCTTTCCTTACATTTTACAACCTGCCACCACTTTGTGTTGGAGTATCACAAAAAGATCCAATAAAATACATTGAACTTAGCTTTTTGACTAAAATGTGAAAAAGATGAGGTGATTGTAGTACTTTTTAAATGCACAGTAATTATCAGAGGTGGGACCCAGTCATTGTGTTGCAAGTAACAAGTAAGTCTCAAGTTCCTCCACCTAAAACTTGATTCAAGTCTTGAGTAATTTTAATAATTTATTCAAAATAACAATAATTTTGAGATTTTTAAATGATGTAAAAAGTTCCTCTCTAGGTTTCAACCTACATGTTCCTAATTCAAATAAAAATGTCTTTGACCTCCTTGAAGTCTGGGCATCAAATTAAATTATTTGTAGTATCTCTGCCAAGTTAGTTGTGGGATTATGAGAATTTAAAAGCCATCACTTTTATCTTCTAACAAACTTTCTGTTTGGTCATTGGCGTGAAAGTCCAAATCAGGTCTAAGGTCTTTGATTTTGTCAAGTCTATAGTTTGTTAAATTTGAGACTGACATGATTCAAAGTCACATGACTTGAATCCACACCTCTGCTGTTTGAAGTAATAATTCTTTACCACATGGAAATGCAAAGCAAAGACCATCAGTCCTTAATCAAGCAAAGCAGCAATAAAGCCAAAGCTAAAAGGAAAGACACAAGCTCTATGTCATAAAAAGTCTGATGACAGAGTAGTCGTTTAATTTAGAAAACAAAAGAAAATCACCTCTTCAGTTTTGTTTCTTCATTAATAAGAGGTAGACTTTTTCAGTGTAAAAATATAGTTACAACCTAAGTATAGCATACAAAAACCTAAAATGACGTTGAAAATTGAAGACTTGCAACTCAATATTTCAGTGAAGAGTCAAAAAAAAAATCAATATATTTTTCAGTGGTAAAAGAAGGTAGTTCAAATACTCTGACTATAATTTAATATTCTAGAAGTTCAAATAGCAGTCACCATATTTGGTAGTCACTATAGACCTGAAGGAGGAATGGTTACCAGTCCTACGTGACTGCATGATAGAAGATTAGGCTTTGGGAAAAACCGTGTCTTTAGATGAACTGTCTGCTGTTGGAAAGACAAGAAACATCTGTTTCAGTTCAGCAAATAGCTAGATTTGGACTTTTGCCTGTTTTTCTTGGTGAAAATGATTAAATTCTGCTTGTAATTGTTTGGGTAAACTAATTAAAAGCTACCTGTCTTAACATTGTTGGAAAAACACTGACGTTAAGCTTTGGTTCGGTCCACTCTGCTTTTTCCATCATCACTTATTTACTGTCAAATCATATAATGCAGCGAAGCTAATATGGTGGGGCATGCTGCTTACTTATGTCTCTATGAGGCATTGAGCACATGCAGGCATGTATCTTGGTATGGATGGACCCTCAAGCTGGTGCCAATTGCCTCTTTCTCGCTCTCTCTCTCTCTTTGGAGAGTGAGTGGGGGTGTGTGTATCCAACCTTTACCCTGAAGATATCGTCCTCAGATGCAGCTGACACAGATTCCTTCATGCCTTTATCTATCTCCTCCTCCACGTTCAAGTCTCCAGAGATGGCCCTTCTGATCTCTGGACCGATGTCATGAAGCGTCCGCAGGCCCGCCTTCACATAAATCAAGCACCATCAATTGCTACTCTTTGCTTCACTTTTTTTTTAAAATATCCAAATCATCAAAGCAAAACACAAAACTCTAGTGAGTACCTGCAGAGAAAGGGCAGTTTTGGGAGGCACCTTGGCCACCAGGCCTTGTTCTTTTCTCTTCTTAAACTTGCGGAAATATTCTTGGATGAGGAAGGTGGCGTAGAACTTTCCAACTGTTACTTCATCATCTGCAAACCAATTAAAAAAGTTTTACATTTAAAAATAGTTTTAAATAATGCAGCACTTTAGTTTCAGAGAAATCACATAGACATTAAGGAGGGTACGTACCGCCAGCAGGGGGCACTACTTGATCCAACAGCTTCATGCTAGTTCTCTTCCAGATCTTTTTCACAATTGCTCTTAGCTCCTCGTTAGCCTGCTCCAGATTACCTGGTCATACAATACACAGCACACAATCAGGATGTTTGAAGAGAAGCTGCCACACTTACAACTGAGGCCTGAAAATGTGAAAATGCCAAAAAATAACCCAGTTCAAACAGCACCCCAAAATATTTTTCCTTTTAACTACCAATATGACTTAATTGTCTTTCATTGTCTTGGAAGACTATTGTTTACATGTTTGCTAGCTTGATTTGACTAGTTTTGTGGAAACTGTTTGCCCTTTTTTGTGTCTGTTACCTTCTGTCTTGATCCTGAGTGCAGTTCTGACCAAAGCAAACAGTGTGGCATTGAACATAACCGTTCCATCACTGTTCAGAGGCATGTTCATCGACACCAGGCGCTACAAGAGACCAAACAGTCACGAGTGTAACCGTGAAGACGTATAGTCGTGACAAACAATTGTGGAGCAGATACAAATATTTTTATTGTTATCCTACACTAATTCTACTGCTTCAGTTGTTTATGAGTAATTTATTTAGGTTTATGAAGAACTGACTAATATTCAAGGGGTAGTAGCAAATGGACTGCAGTTACTTTCTCTATTGAAGGCCCATGCAAATTATTTGGGGGAAAAGGCCTGAATACAATTTCTGTCATTGTGACACTGAAGCATTGTGAGAGCATTCGTGCATCAGTGAAAGCCTTTGAAACGTATAAAATATTTATTTTTCAACTTCAGTAAGACTGACAGAAAATTTAACACTAAAGCAGTAGAGTTTGTGCAAAACAAAAAATTTGGTAGCTATGATTGCTTTATGTTGACACATACTCATGATTTTGTATATTAATGAGCTGCCTGCTTCTAAACTTTCTATGTTGTGCACAATATACAGGTCCTTCTCAAAAAATTAGCATATTGTGATGAAGTTCATTATTTTCCATAATGTAATGTTAAAAATTAAACTGTCATATATTTTAGATTCATTGCACACCAACTGAAATATTTCTGGTCTTTTTTTTGTTTTAATACTGATGATTTTTGGCATACAGCTCATGAAAACCCAA